GTTGGCTGACTGAGATGACTGGCAGATGCATTACCAGTGCTCCCGTGCCAGGCTAGGTGCAGGAGGTCACGGGGCAGACCCAGCAGGTGCCACGGGTCGACTGACTGAGATGACTGGCAGATGTACTACCTGTGCTCCTGTGCCAGGCTAGGTGCAGGAGGTCACGGGGCAAACCCAGCAGGTGCCACGGATTGGCTGACTGAGATGACTGGTAGATGTACTACCTGTGCTCCTGTGCCAGGTTAGGTGCAGGAGGTCACGGGACAGACCCAGCAGGTGCCACCGGTTGGCTGACTGAGATGATCGGCAGATGTACTACCTGTGCTCCCGTGCCAGGCTAGGTGCAGGAGGTCACGGGACAGACCCAGCAGGTGCCACGGATTGGCTTACTGAGATGACTGTTTCTCTCTCCCCATCTCTCTCTCCCCATCTCTCTCCCCCCATCTCTCTCTCTGTACATACTGTGGTGGTGGTGGTACCTACTATGATTACAGCAGTGCCTGTTGTAGTGGTACCTGCTATGATTACAGCAGTGCATACCGACTGTGGTGGTACCTGCTATGATGACAGCAGTGCATACTGACTGTGGTGGTACCTGTTATGATGACAGCAGTGCATACTGACTGTGGTGGTACCTGCTATGATGACAGCAGTGCATATTGACTGTGGTGGTACCTGCTATGATGACAGCAGTGCATGTTGTAGTGGTACCTGCTATGATGACAGCAGTGCACACTGATTGTGGAGCTCCTGTGTTCTCTCCCACCTCTGGAGTAGCTGGAGCTTCAGCAGCAGCAGCTGGAGCTGCATCTGCAGCAGGAGGAGTTTCAGCAGCAGCATCTAGAGCTGCAGCTGCAGCAGCTGCAGCAGCAGCAGGAGCTGCAGGAGCGGTTTCAGCAGCAGCAGGTGGACCCGGGCCTGCAGAAACTCCATCAGCGGCAATGGCTGCAACAGCGGGAGCTGGAGCAGGAGCTGCAGCTGCAGCAGCAGGAGCTGGAGCAGCAGCAGCAGCAGCGGTTAGAGCAGCTGGAGCAGCAGCAGCAGCAGGAGCTGGAGCTGCAGCAGGAGCTGTATCTGGAGCTGCAGCAGCAGCTGGAGCTGCACCAGCAGCAGCAGGAGCTGCAGCTGCAGCAGCAGCAGGAGTTTCAGCAGCAGCATCTAGAGCTGCAGCTGCAGCAGCAGCAGGAGTTTCAGCAGCAGCATCTAGAGCTGCAGCAGCTGCAGCAGCAGCAGCTGCAGCAGCAGCAGGAGCTGTTTCAGCAGCAGCAGCTGGACCCGCACCTGCAGCTGCACCTGAAGCTGAGGCTGCAGCAGCAGCAGCGGCTGCAACAGCGGGAGCTGCAGCAGCAGCAGCAGCTGCAGCAGCGGGAGCTTCAGCAGCACCAGCAGCAGCAGTTGGAGCAGCTGGAGCTGCAGCAGCAGCAGGAGCTGGAGCTGCAGCATCAGCAGGAGCTGCACCACCAGCAGCAGCAGCTGGGGTTGCAGCAGCAGCAGGAGCTGGAGCTGCAGCAGCAGCAGGAGTTCGAGCGGCAACAGTTGGAGCTGCAGCAGCTGCATCAGCGGGAGCTGCAACAGCACCAGCAGCGGTTTCAGCAGCCGGAGCTGGACCCGGAGCTGGGGATGCACCTGGAGCTGAGGCTGCTGCATCGGCAGCAGCAGCAGGAGCTGCAGCAGCAGCAGCGAGAGCTGCAGCAGCAGCAGCGGCTGCAGCATCCGGGGTTACGGTAGCTGGGGCATGAGCTGTATCACGCTGAGCGTGGGTTCGATCGCGACCCTGACGATGCCTGTGTGTTTGGATACTCTGGTTTTTTTGGTAAAGTTGAATTAAATGACGACGTTTCGGGCGCAACACAAGTGCCCATCATCAGGTGTAAACAACCCCAGCAATAAACAAATTGGTGAAATGGGCAAAAGGAGGCTTGCTTGTGACACGAGGAGAGATGGAGGGGGTGGGGTGTGGGGTAGGCGGAGTGGCGAAGGGCAGTCACCCAGTTTAATGACCAGGCTACGTTTTGATTTAAAGCTTCTTTCGTGACTGCAGGGATTCATCTTCTTGGTTCTTTCGGTAAAGTCACGTAGAAGGGAAGTAATGATATAAATGAAAAACAATACAAATTCTCACGACGTTTCGACTGCAAATCAAGCAATCGTCATCAGGTGTGAAATCCACAGAAAGAAAATTTCAAAGAAAAATAAAATAATAAAAATATAAAACAAAAAAATTTCTCACGACGTTTCGACTGCAACACAAGCAATCGTCATCAGGTGTACAATCCACAGCAAGAAAGTTTGAAAAAAATTAACCCGTAAAAACAAAGTTTTTCACTCTAAATCCTTTATATGCGTGGCGGCTAGAGTCCTCTCGTCCTCTGGCTTGAGATGGCTGCCATCTATGGGTCAGATGATTGTCTGCCACCATTAAGCAATTGGCAATTAAATATTTATTTTTCCCTAAACAGTGTCAAATTTTGGAAAAAAAATTTCACGAACATTAATTGTCACGCACAACGAGTCTGTGTGGAAAATGTCAGCTCGATTGGATCACGGGAAGTGGGTTAAAAAACGACCGAAAGATTTGCACGGTCGTAAGCAAGCAAGCGAACTTAATATAAAGGATTTTAAAAAAGTAATTTGTACAAATGTTTTTGCATTTCAGGGTTTATTTGGATGGGTGCTACAGTGCAAACAAGTCTGTGCTGGTTGGGAGACATAATGTCAAAGTTTTGGCCACGGGGGTTTGTTCAAATAGTTGTTTTTGTAAAATATTTTATTTACGTGAAATTTCTTGTGAGTATTTGGTTTGTCCCAAAGTGCAAACACAAATGAAATTTGCACGAGGTCACGTGGCCTGCTTGTTGCGAGTGACCCACTAATTTTGAGTTTTATTTGACGAAAAAAAAGTTTCCTTGTATTTTTATATATTTTTTACAAATAAACATTACGACTGTTTAGAATTATGACGGTTAACCGAAGTGGTTATCGTCACTCGTAACCGTTCGTATTTGCTGCTTACAGCTGCAACATTATTTTGTCTTCGCGTGGGTTGACCGTTTGATCGCGTGGTGCAGAATTTGTCTTGAAAGGGGGGAAAAGTCAATCGACAATTTTTAAACAAACCAACAATATCAATTGGACCTCAAAGCAATGGCATATCAATCTCAATTTTTGTTTACAAATTTTAGCAGACTGTGGCATTAATCGATACGTAAGTCTGCACCATAAACTCGTCCTGAGATTCGGAATCTGCGTCTCCTAAATTCTAGAAATATCAAATGATACAGCAACCCATGGTTTGATAGCTTGGGTTACGGTGTACATTCTAATTTGTTCTTTGGGGGTGGCCAATTTGATCGTCCGTATTTACGTATTTGCAGCAATATATCTCAAGCAGCCATGGCTTGGTTAAGTAACACTGGTCAACAACAAAACAAACATTGTTTTCTGGCCTGGACTTTTGCAGCTGTTCTAGACTAATTTGCTGATTGCAAATCTGATCTCAGATTTGCTCCATCACATCTAATTTTTAAATCCTTTATATTAAGTTCGCTTGCTTGCTTACGACAGTGCAAATCTTTCGGTCGTTTTTTAACCCACTTACCGTGATTCAATCAAGTTGACATTTTGCACACAGACTCGTTGTGCGTGACAATTAATGTTTGTGAACATTTTTTTCCTAAATTTTACACTTTATAGGACAAAAATATTATATTTAATTACCAATTGTTTAATACTGCAGACAATCATCTGACCCATAGGTGGCAGCCATCTCAAGCCAGAGGACGAGAGGACTCGAGCCGCCACGCATATAAAGGATTTATAGTGATAAACGTTGTTTTTACGGGTTATACTTATTATGCTATCGGCATACCCCATTTTCATTGATTTTACCCGAAGTTAACTCTGTCACTTATTGTTGCGAGTCAGTGACTGCTTTAGTATTAAAATACGGTGCTTTGTTTTTAGGATAGTGTGTTTATAATATCATTTTATGTAGATATCCACATTTATTTAATATTTTTCTTCCACAGTTTTTATTGAAAATGCAAATATTTGACATCTCAAAAACCTGATGTGATAGACAAAAACTGATGCCAGATTTGGAAACCTTTTCGATTTAAAGCTTTCGTGACTGCAGGGATTCATCTTCTTGGTTCTTTCGGTAAAGTCACGTAGAAGGGAAATAATAAAATATTAAAAATAAAAATAATAAAATAATTCTCACGACGTTTCGGCCACAACGCAAGCAGCCGTCCTCAGGTGAAGACCAGGTCTGTCGGAAAGACAGAGTCTGAATGTCGCCTCGACAGACCTGGTCTTCACCTGAGGACGGCTGCTTGCGTTGTGGCCGAAATGTCGTGATAATTATTTTATGTTCTATTATTTTTATTATTTTATTACTTCCCTTCTACGTGACTTTACCGAAAGAACCAAGAAGAAAAAACATAACATTTCGATTTAAAGCTTTCGTGACTGCAGGGATTCATCTTCTTGGTTCGGTAAAGTCGCGTAGAAGGGAAATAATAAAAATGTTTTATTATTTCCTTTCAAAAATGTTTTATTCTTATTCATCTTCTTGATTCGGTAAAGTCACGCAGAAGGGGAATAATAAAATAAAAAAAGATGAACTTTTATTCTTTTATTACTTCCCTTCTACGCGACTTTACCGAAAGAACCAATAAGAAAAAACACAACACTCTAATATGAAAAGAAAACAAACCTTGTTGGCCAAGGCGATGGCGTCATTCCGAGGCAAGGCCGGTGACCTGCCCGTTACAGCATGGGAGCTGCACCGTCATAACGCGCCCGTTACAGCGTGGAACCTGCACCGTCATAACGCGCCTGTTATAGCGTGGAAGCTACAACGTCATAACGCGCCTGTTATAGCGTGGAAGCTACAACGTCATAACGCGCCCGTTACAGCGTGGAAGCTGCACCGTCATAACGCGCCTGTTATAGCGTGGAACCTGCAACGTCATAACGCGCCTGTTATAGCGTGGAAGCTACACCGTCAGGAGGCTGAACAAGTCTACTACAGCACGGAACGTGGTGCCATTTTCTGGAGCGTGTCGACCGTGCTGGGCGGGTCGTGGGCCGCGGACGTGGGTTGCGGGCGGCTCATCGACACGGGGGGGCAGTCGTCCATCCTGCTACGGGAGGCGAGAGAGGGAGGGAGGTGAGGGAGGCAGGGGAGGGAGGTGAGGGAGGCGAGGAAGGGAGGCGAGGGAGGCGAGGGAGGCGAGGGAGGTGAGGGAGGGAGGCGAGGGAGGTGAGGGAGGGAGGCGAGGGAGGGAGGCGAGGGAGGTGAGGGAGGGAGGTGAGGGAGGTGAGGGAGGCAGGGGAGGGAGGTGAGGGAGGTGAGGGAGGGAGGCGAGGGAGGCGAGGGAGGTGAGGGAGGGAGGCGAGGGAGGTGAGGGAGGGAGGCGAGGGAGGGAGGCGAGGGAGGTGAGGGAGGGAGGTGAGGGAGGGGAGGGTGGTGAGGGAGGCACGGGAGGGAGGGAGGGAATCAGATAAACGTCCATCTGTTAAAAGTCACGTATGCTCAGAATCAAGAGTCTGTATTCAGGCTGGAGGAGGAAAGGAATCCGATGAGCTATGAAGCTCTCTTTCACAGAGGTCCAGTAAGGTCACGGGGTCACGAGTTCACGCTCGCACACACAGAGGCTGTCACTGTCCGATTCGCAACAACGCGGGTGCTGTGCCAGTGGGTCAGTGGGCGAGCGGGCCTGTGGGTGAGTGGGTCAGTGGGTGAGTGGGCGAGCGGCTCAATGGGTGAGTGGGCCAGTGGCTGAGTGGGTGAGTGGGTGAGTGGGCCAGTGGCTGAGTGGGTGAGTGGGTCAGTGGGTCAGTGGGTGAGTGGGTCAGTGGGTCAGTGGGTGAGTGGGTCAGTGGGTGAGTGGGTGAGTGGGTCAGTGGGTGAGTGGGTGAGTGGGTCAGTGGGTCAGTGGGTCAGTGGGTCAGTGGGTGAGTGGGTCAGTGGGTCAGTGGGTGAGTGGGTGAGTGGGTCAGTGGGTGAGTGGGTCAGTGGGTGAGTGGGTGAGTGGGTCAGTGGGTGAGTGGGTCAGTGGGTGAGTGGGTCAGTGGGTCAGTGGGTGAGTGGGTGAGTGGGTCAGTGGGTGAGTGGGTCAGTGGGTGAGTGGGTGAGTGGCTCAGTGGGTGAGTGGCTCAGTGGGTGAGTGGGTCAGTGGGTGAGTGGGTCAGTGGGTGAGTGGGTGAGTGGGTCAGTGGGTCAGTGGGCGAATGAGCAGATGAGCGGGCGGCCGGGCGAGTGGGCGAGGGAGCGGGTGGGACCTCACCAGCTGTCGTTGCGATAGTCTCGGTTGCACACCGGCTTGCGCAGCCGGCACCAGACGAAGAAGCCGATTACGGTGACGACGAGAGACACGCCCGGCACGGCGCCCGTCACGGCGCCCGTCACGGCGCCTGGCGTTACGGCTTGCTGCACGCGGCACACCACGTATCACACGCACGCCAGCGTCACTGCACTACGCACACACCACGCATCACACCACACACACACCACACACACACCACGCATCACACCACACACACACCACACACACACCACGTATCACACCACACACACACCACCACACACACACACACCACACACACACCACGTATCACACCACACACACCACACACACACCACGTATCACACCACACACACCACACACAGACCACACACACACCACACACACCACACACACATCACACACACCACACACACACCACACACACACACCACACACACACCACACACAGACCACACACACACCACACACACACCACGTATCACACCACGCATCACACCACACACACCACGTATCACACCACGTATCACACCACGTATTACACCACACACACACCACACACACACCACGTATCACACCACACACACACCACACACACACCACACACACACACACCACACACACACAGACCACACACACACCACCCACACACCACGCATCACACCCACACACACCACACACACACCACACACACAGACCACACACACACCACACACACCACGCATCACACCCACACACACCACACACACACCGCACACAGACCACACACACACCACACACACACCACACACACACCACACACACACCACACACACACAGACCACACACACACCACACACACACCACGCATCACACCCACACACACCACACACACACCACACATACACAGACCACACACACACCACACACACACCACGCATCACACCCACACACACCACACACACACCGCACACACACCACACACACACCACACACACACCACACACACACCACACACACACCCACACACACCACACACACCACATCACACACACCACACACACACCACACATCACATCGTCGTCGTCACATTGCTCGCACTGGTAGAGGTGGCACCCACCCAGCACGGAGGGTAATGGTTCCTCTCCGCCAGCCTTCTTCCACTCGTAGCTGATGGGCGACGTCCCTTCTGTGGACAGGCACCGCAGAGACAGCTCCTTGCCCTGCAGCACCGAACCGTTCACCACGCAGCTGGGCTGGCTCGCCTTCACTGCACCAGCTGGGAGAGTGGGGAGGGAGCAAGGGGCAGAGGTCGCAAACGGGTTTTGATTCCTTACCCGTACCCGGCCGCACCAGGGTCGCAAACGGCTACCCGTACCCTACCCGATACCCGGCTACCCGTACCCGGCCGGGTAGGGTACGGGTATCGGGTACCCGATTGCGACCTCTGGCAAGGGCTCACAACAGCTTCAAGTGTTCTCTGTTGCGCTTGGTTTGGCGCGGTTGGCCACGTGACGGGAAGCTACTGGGGCTGCGTGTACGTGTGTCTAGATGCGTGCGTGTACGTGCGTGCGTGTATGTGCGTGTACGTGCGTGCGTGTACGTGTGTCTACATGTGTGCGTGTACGTGCGTGTACGTGTGTGTACATGCGCGCGCGTGCGTGCGTTCGTTACCCAGCACGACGAGCCTGATGGGCACCTGCTGGATGAAAGCGCCAAACTTCACTCTGCACGTGTAGACTCCCCCGTCGTTCCCCTGCAGCGCGGCGATCTGCAGCGACGCGTCCCGCTGCGTCACGTTGCGCACGAAGCGCACGCGGGACGCGAAGTCCGGGTAGACGTGCTCCTCGTCCCCGACGAACGTGGCCAACTGAGGATAGGGGGGACAAAAAGGTATCCGCCGCCACCACCGCCACCACCACCACCGCCACCACCGCCGCCACCACCACCGCCACCACCGCCACCACCACCACCACCGCCACCACCGCCGCCACCACCGCCACCACCGCCACCACCACCACCACCGCCGCCACCGCCGCCACCACCGCCACCGCCGCCGCCGCCACCACCGCCACCACCACCACCACCGCCACCACCACCGCCACCACCACCGCCACCACCACCGCCACCACCACCGCCACCACCACCGCCACCACCACCACAACCGCCACCACCACCACCGCCGCCACCGCCAGCTAAACAGCGCACTGCCGGGCAGAGCGCTCGCTGCAGTGGAGGCCGGCTACGGTGGAGACGTTCGCTACGCAACCGCATTTTAGGCCGAGTTGACCTAGGGAAGGCCCAGGGACCACGTTCGGTGTTGGGCCACGAGTGGGAATCGAACTCGGGTCTCCAGGTTCGTAGCGCGACGGAGCGCTATCGACGCTCCTGCTTCCCACGACGCCTATGAAGGCAACGTCACGTGGGTGGTGGGGTGGTGCCCGGCACCCCCAGCGACGACGTTCGCTAGGCAACCGCAGCGGGTACTCGTTTCAGGCCGAGAGAACCTAGGCGTGGGCCAGCAGCGGTTCGTTATTATCGTCAGTGGTGTTGTCCACTGGCAGGTCACGGGGCAGAGCCAGAGGGTCAGAGGTCGCAACCAGGTACCCGATACTCGTACCCGGCTACCCGGCCGGGTATGGCAATGGGTACCCGTTTGTGACCCTGGTGCAACCGGGTACGGGTAGGCCGTGAGTCACTGGTGAGTCACCGTTTGTCGCTCATTTCCCAACGTCTTGTCTCTTCTCACAATTCAAGTTCCTAGAATCAACCCACCCGCGCCTGCAACATGGCTTCATCCCAGAGGTCGCAATCGGGTACCCAATACCCGTACCCTACCCGATACCCGGCCGGGTACAGGTAGCCGGGTATCGGGTAGCGTACGGGTAGCCGATTGCCACCCTGGTGCGGCCGGGTACGGGTAAGGAATCAAAATCCGTTTGCGACCTCTGCAGAGGGTTGATCGACTGAGATTACTGACAAATGCACGCAGCACTACACACACCGACACCACAGCAGCAGCAGCCAGCATTCGTCACTGAGCGGCGGTGACACATTGCCAGGGTGTGTTGTGCCAGGCCAGGCCGTCTGTGCACGTGATGATGATGATAAGCCACCTTGATGGGCAATCGTGTGTGCCCAGGTCGCTTCTGAATAAAGAAGCTCAGAGCTGAGTGGGCTTTACCAGGTTAACACTTCTATTGATTTTTAGACTGTTTAAGTGACATTTGTTTTCCTATACTTTGCACTCCTATCGTGTTCTTGTAGCCGTTTGTTGTTGGAACGTTCTGACCCCCCCCCCCCCCCCGTGCCTCTACTGGACATCTGTGGACAAAGAGCTTTACAGCTGATCGGATTCCTCCTGCAGTGCAGATACAGATTCTGTACGAGACTGCGGGCGACTTCTGCGTAGGATCCTACAGGTGTCTGTGTTGGAGTCTGCTGGAGGCTACGTATGAACCTACGGGTGGCTGCGTAGGAGCCTGTGGCAGAGGTCGCAACCGGGTACCCGATACCCGTACCCTACCCGATACCCGGCTACCCGTACCCAGCCAGGTACGGGTAGCCGGGTACCCGTTTGCGACCCTGATGCGGCCGGGTACGGGTAGGCCGTGAGTCACTGGTGAGTAACCGTGTGTCACTCATTTCGGGTAGGGTACGGGTAGGGAACGGGTACCCGTACCAGGCCAGGTACGGGTACGGGTACCCATTTGCGACCCTGGTGCGGCCGGGTACGGGTAAGGAATCAAAACCCGTTAGCGACCTCTGGCCTGTGGACTTGTAGTATATAGTGTAGTGTATAGTGTAGTGTATAGTGTAGTGTATAGTGTAGTGTAAAGTGTAGTGTGTAGTGTAGTGTATAGTGTAGTGTATAGTGTAGTGTAAAGTGTAGTGTAGTGTATAGTGTAGTGTATAGTAGTGTCGTGTGTAGTGTAGTGTATAGTGTAGTGTATAGTGTAGTGTATAGTAGACTGAGGCTCCTATAGCTCAGTGTTAATGAGGGAGCCTCAGGGAGCCAGACTGAGGCTCCTATAGGGTTCAGTGTTAATCACTGAGACTTACAGAGCCAGACTAAGACTCCCATAGGGTTCGGTGTTAATGACTGAGCCTCAGGGAGCCAGACTGAGGCTCCTATACGATCCTTAGGGCTCAGTATTAATGCGTGGGAGCCTACAGGCGTCTCTGCGTGTGCGACGGGCTCTCTGTATCTCTCTTCCTCACGTAGATGTTGGTAGTGGGCGTCTGCAGGAACCACTCCACGTCCAGCTGCTCAGTGGCCGTCGGATCGACCTTCCAGGTGCAGCCCAGCACCACCGTCTCCCCCTCCGCTTTCTCTACCCACGAGATGGCTGCCAAGAGGGGGGGGGGGGGTGACACGGTTGTGAAGTAATGTCTTCAAGAGTCACGTAATTGTATTTGTGTTTCTCTGTTAGTGCCCCAAACACGTAGATTTACCCACACAGGCTTACTCAGAGAGGCATAGACTCACACAGTGACCCACAGACTCACACAGAGACCCCTAGACTCACACAGAGACCCATAAACTCACTCAGAGAGGCATAGACTCACACAGTGACCCACAGACTCACACAGAGACCCCTAGACTCACACAGAGACCCATAAACTCACTCAGAGAGGCATAGACTCACACAGTGACCCACAGACTCACACAGAGACCCCTAGACTCATACAGAGACCCATAAACTCACTCAGAGAGGCATAGACTCACACAGTGACCCACAGACTCACACAGAGACCCCTAGACTCATACAGAGACCCATAAACTCACTCAGAGAGGCATAGACTCACACAGTGACCCACAGACTCACACAGAGACCCCTAGACTCATACAGAGACCCATAAACTCACTCAGAGAGGCATAGACTCACACAGTGACCCACAGACTCACACAGAGACCCCTAGACTCACACAGAGACCCATAGACTCATACAGAGACCCATAGACTCACACAGAGACCCATAAACTCACTCAGAGAGGCATAGACTCACACAGAGACCCATAGACTCACACAGAGACCCATAGACTCACACAGAGACCCATAGACTCACACAGAGACCCATAGACTCACACAGAGACCCATAGACCCACAAAGATCCCCGTGTAGCGTTCCACAGACTGTTGGGGCAAGTGCTGTTAGCGAGTCAGCAGCAGCAGCACCACGCCCGGCCGCCTTTGTCTCCCCCCCCCAGTCGCTAACCAGTGCGCCACCGCTCCCCGTTACCAACAGCGCTCGTGCCAGGCTAGGTGCACTTGGCAACTTATCACAAACACACACAAAAACAAAGTAGCCTCGCGAATAAGATGGCACGTCCCAGCAGACAACCGCCGACTCACTGCCCATCGCGATCGCCATCGCCTGCAGCAGCAGCAACAGCAGCAGCAGCAGCGCAGAGCGAGACAACAACACGTCCGCCATTTCTGTCTCTTCGTTTCTTCATCTCGCGCCATGACGTCACGCGGCGAGGGGCGGAGTTCCGGTGGATTCACCCCCCACGCAAACCACGCTGTTGCAATATACATGTAACACACACACAATAACACTGGTCAACACACTTGTTGTTCTGGCATTAGGTATTAACAACGGTTGTAAGGTAATTTTGGGGTGCCGATTCCAAATCTGGCATCAGTTTTTGTCCATCACATCAGGTTTTTGAGATATCAAATATTGCATTTTCAATAAAAACTGCAGAAGAAAAATATTAAGTAAATGTGGATATCTACATAAAATTATGATATTATCAACATAACAGGAGCCTGCGGGGTGGGCTGGTAGGAATAATACTCAGTACCGGTACAGGGATATCGACCGGGTATAGAGGAGTTAAAGAAAAAATTACTGTATTCTAGTGTAACGTTAATTAAAAGTGTTTGTTTTGACAAGAAACGCTGTGAGATTTAAAGACTCGTAGTCTTTCATTTCCAAACGATCACGTCTGAGATTAATTGACCTTAGATGGGGAAACTCGAATGCATTTACTAGTATAAAGGTGAAATAAAATAGAGGGAATAAACGGCACCTTGGTGCATTTTATGTCGTCTACATAGAGTTGAATAAACGGGCGTTTGGCATGGATACCGAAAACCACGACTTTTAGGGCAAGATTTCAACAAGGTGTGTTCTCTAAAGATCGTCGTGCAGACGTGCGAGGCTGGGATTGATTGCAGTGAATGTCGGGACAGCGTGTTCATTAATCATCTTACAGTATTTTGGGTTCGATCACATAAGTATCAATGTTGTGTCGTAACCCTCCACCACCCGACACAGCCAGTAAGGTTTGTCACGTAAACAACGCACCAATTAATTATTAGTATAGTGTATAGTAGTGTATAGTGTAGTGTATAGTGTAATAGTATATAGTGTAGTGTATAGTGGTGTAGTGTATAGTGTAGTGTATAGTGGTGTATAGTGGTGTAGTGTATAGTAGTGTAGTGTATAGTGTATAGTAGTGTAGTGTATAGTGTATAGTAGTGTAGTGTATAGTGTATAGTAGTGTAGTGTATAGTGTATAGTAGTGTAGTGTATAGTGTATAGTAGTGTAGATTTGTTTCTTGAAATAATTCCCGACGCCCCCCCGAGCTCACAGCCTCTCACGGCCGCGTGCGTGCCTCCCAGTGTGCACCACCAAACGTATTCGGTTAGACCCCCTCCCTAGCTAGACTCACTCCCCGTGAGTCACCGAGTGCCGCTGAAGGTGGCGACGCAAAGCAAACCCCTTGCCGCACACTGCGCACACGTACGGCCTCTCCCCCGTGTGCTTCCTTGCGTGCACGTGCAAGCTGTCCACCTGCGTGAACCCCTGCCCGCACTCGTCGCACACGTACGTTCTCTCGCCCGCGTGCGTCCTGGCGTGCCTCTTCATGTCGGAGCAGCCGGGAAAACTCTTCCCGCACTCCTCGCAAACGTACGGCCTCTCGTCCGTGTGCGACCTCACTCGCAGGTTCAAGTTGCAGGCCTGCGCGGAACCCTTCCCGTACTCCTCGCAAACGTACGACCTTTCGTCCGTATGCGACCTCACTCGCAGGTTCAAGTTGAAGTCGTGCGCAAAGCCCTTGCCGCACTCGGCGTACACGTACTGCTTCTCGCCCGTGTGCGTCTCGAAGTGGGGAAAGCCGCACTGCCCGCACGCGTGCCGCCTGTCACCGGCGGCGCTTGCTGTCTTCTTGTCTCCTGCAAAGGTACGGACGGGCGGGGAGGACGGTGTGGTGGGAGCATTGTACAACAGGCGTCAGGGTCGGGATCGAACCCAGGACCTCCTGTATACCAGGCGAGGTAGTCAACGTCTCATAGCCACCGTGATGATGATGAGAGATCGAACCCACGACCTCCTGTATCCCAGGCGAGGTAGTCAACGTCTCATAGCCACCGTGATGATGATGAGAGAGAGATCGAACCCACGACCTCCTGTAGACCAGGCGAGGTAGTCAACGTCTGCTATCCACCGTGGTGCCACCGTGCTCACCAGCATCGATGTCTTGCAGGCTCTCCGTAGAGTCTGGCCGCTTCCCAAGCGCTGCATTATCGTCCATTTCTTGATTGACGAATCTGGCGGGGGGAATGCAAAGAAAAACAACGACAATGAACGTAGACAACCAAATAGATAAATAATAAATATATAAATGTTGCACCGTCGTTAAACCCGCCACCACCCGACACAGCCATTTAGTTAGGTTTAGTACAACAGGAACAGACCGTGCCAATTCATTACGCAGTACGGCACTACTGTGGAGTGTATAGTGTAGTGTATAGTTTATCCACCGGCTGTAGTAGTAGCTATCCAAACTCTATAATAGTACTAACTTCACAGCGTGTAGTGGTGAGGCTTAGTCCCGTGCAGAGCCCCTAGCCAGGCTGTGGCTGGGCAACTACCCCCCCCACCACCATCCCCCCACCCGCTCTACAATAATTTCATCCAAGGACTATAATAGTAGTATCTACCGACCAGAGGTCACAAACGGGTTTTGATTCCTTACCCGTACCCGGTCGCACCAAGGTCGCAAACGGGTACCCGTACCCGTACCCGGCCGGGTACGGGTAGGGTACGGGTATCGGGTACCTGATTGCGACCTCTGGGATGAAGCCATGTTGCAGGCGCCAGTGGGTTGATTCTAGGAACTTGAATTGTGAGAAGAGACAAGACGTTGGGAAATGAGTGACAAACAGTTACTCACCAATGACTCACGGTCTACCCGTACCCGGCCGCACCAGGGTCGCAAACGGGTACCCGTACCCGTACGGGTAGCCGGGTATCGGGTAGGGTACGGGTATCGGGTACCCGGTTGCAACCTCTGCTACCGACCCTATAGTAGTAAGTGCTGCACACATTGGGGAGAAGAGGACATCACACTGAAGAATTCACCTCAGCGGAGGCGACTTTCTCGCGCATGCGCAGATGCGTGGCCTGGCACCACCCTGTGCTAATGAAAGGGAATACATTGTTAATTTAACCACTTTAAACTTGACAGATGTGAAATACGAATAGCGCTTTTCCGTCGCGGGGCATACGGTGTGGTATCTGTGTACTTTTTCGATGCGTAAAACCCCACAGTTTGTAAGTGAAACACGTCACAAGGTACCCGCGCAAACAGGCAGACAGACACACAGACGAAAGATGACTTTCATAGGTAAGGTATCGTGTAGTGTGTAGTAGTGTATAGTGTAGTGTATAGTAGTGTATAGTGTAGTGTATAGTAGTGTATAGTGTAGTAGTGTATAGTGTAGTGTATAGTGTAGTGTGTAGTGTAGTGTATAGTGTAGTAGTGTATAGTGTAGTGTGTAGTAGTGTATAGTGTAGTGTATAGTGTAGTAGTGTGTAGTGTATAGTGTAGTAGTGTATAGTGTAGTGTATAGTGTAGTGTGTAGTAGTGTATAGTGTAGTGTATATTAGTGTATAGTGTAGTGTATAGTGTAGTGTATAGTGTAGTGTATAGTGTAGTGTATAGTGTAGTAGTGTATAGTGTAGTGTATAGTGTAGTGTATAGTGTAGTAGTGTATAGTGTAGTGTATAGTGTAGTAGTGTATAGTGTAGTGTATAGTGTAGTGTATAGTGTAGTAGTGTATAGTGTAGTAGTGTATAGTGTAGTAGTGTATAGTGTAGTGTATAGTGTAGTGTATAGTGTAGTAGTGTATAGTGTAGTAGTGTATAGTGTAGTGTATAGTGTAGTGCAAGGCTGTAGCCGTGGAGACAACATTGGGGGGGGGGGGCAGATTTTCCAGGTGTCTGGGGTCCCCTCCCCAGAAAAAATATCTAAATTTGAAAACTAATTTCCTGCCATTTCCTGCCTAAAACATTTACAAATTCACCAACACATGGGATGGACTTTTTATAATTATATTTTTTTACAATAAAGTCTAATAGTGTATTGTATTACATTGCTCTGTTTTAACTTTTTTTTTAACCATTTCTTGCTTTATTGTATGTAATGTTTGAGATTACGGATTAATAAAGTACAACCACAATCATATCAACAGAAATCTATGCGTTGATTTACATGAAGGCAAGTCCAGATATTGTGACCAAGGTTTAGCAAATTGTTGTTTTTATTTACAAAGCATTAAAATTACTTAATTTTTAAAAAATAAATATATAATATAATAACGTCCTTGACGTATAAACTCCTCACGTGATCTTACTAGCTCTACTACCCGGCCGCCTTTGTCTCCCCAGTGGCGATGTTCACACACCACACCAGCTGAGGCGACCTAGGGGAGGCCCGGGACCGGTTCAAACAATCAGTGCAGCTGGTGCCAGGCTACGTGCACCTAGAGCCACCATCGCCTCTGATTGGACGGCGCCTTCCAGCAGCGAGCGCTTCTATTGGCTTAGCCACTCAGACCGCGTTGTCATCGATTCGATTCTTGAACAAAACGCAACTCGATTCAACCGCTGTAAAAGAAAGGGGCGTTGGGAATCGATGATCGATTCTATAATCGTTTGTTATTGCAGTCCCAGATTGGAGAGAATCGATTTGGTGATAAGCCGCACATCGATTCTGGAGTCGGGAAGGATTCGAAATTCCGCCATCGCGTTTGAGGTGAAATTTTCATTAAAATATTCTTTTGATATTTCCGTATTTAATGTACTTCAACAATAAAACTGCAGAGATTCATATTCTTAAAGCCACGTAGAAAGGAAATAATTAAAATAAAGCAATAAAATAATTTTATTATAATAGTAAAATTATTGTATTATGTTAAATTTGTATTTTATCATTTCCCTTCTACGTGACTTTACCGAAAAAATCAACAATATGGGAGTTTTATTTTCTTGGTTCTGTCGGTAAAGTCACGTAGAAGGGAAATAATACAAATTAAACAATACAATTGCTTTATTATTATAATAAAATATTTAGAATACAATTATTGTATATTGTTTAATTTTCATTAGTTTATTACTTCCTTTCTACGCGACTTTACCGAGAGAACCAATAAATCGGGAGTTTTATTGTTGAGTTTGGTAATTTGTGCTTTAACATATTTCCTCAAAATCGCCTCCCGCCTTGGAGACAAACAGGTTTGGGTGTTTCCCCTCCCACGTGACGCGGAGTTTGTTTCCCGCCAAATCTTTTCGGCTCCTCCCCCTCGCCCGCCCCCATTTGAGGGGGGGGGTGAAGGCGGTTGCCATGGATTTTTGATGCGGTTGCCATGGATTTTTGATGCGGTTGCCATGGTTTTTTGATGATAAATGATTTGCATGTGCAGTGTTGAGTCTATGGTGCAGTGTTGAGTCTATGGGCAGTGTTGAGTCTATGGTGCAGTGTTGAGTCTATGGGGCAGTGTTGAGTCTATGGAGCAGTGTTGAGTCTATGGTGCAGTGTTGAGTCTATGGTGCAGTGTTGAGTTTATGGTGCAGTGTTGAGTCTATGGTGCAAAGTGTTGAGTCTATGGGCAGTGTTGAGTCTATGGTGCAGTGTTGAGTCTATGGGCAGTAGTGTGAGTCTATGGTGCAGTGTTGAGTCTATGGTGCAGTGTTGAGTCTATGGTGCAGGTGTGAGTCTATGGTGGCAGTGTTGAGTCTATGGGCAGTGTGAGTCTATGGTGCAGTGTTTAGTCTATGGGGCAAGTGTTGAGTCTATGGTGCAGTGTTTGAGTCTATGGTGCAGTGTTGAGTCTATGGTGCAGTGTTGAGTCTATGGGCAGTGTTGAGTCTATGGTGCAGTGTTGAGTCTATGGTGCAGTGTTGAGTCTATGGTGCAGTGTTGAGTCTATGGTGCAGTGTTGAGTCTATGGTGCAGTGTTTGAGTCTATGGTGCAGTGTTGAGTCTATGGTGGCAGTGTTGAGTCTATGGGCAGTGTTGAGTCTATGGGCAGTGTTGAGTCTATGGTGCAGTGTTGAGTCTATGGTGCAGTGTTTGAGTCTATGGTGCAGTGTTGAGTCTATGGTGCAGTGTTGAGTCTATGGTGCAGTGTTGAGTCTATGGTGCAGTGTTGAGTCTATGGTGCAGTATTGAGTCTATGGTGCAGTGCTGAGTCTATGGTGCAGTGCTGAGTCTATGGTGCAGTGTTGAGTCTATGGTGCAGTGTTGAGTCTATGGTGCAGTGTTGAGTCTATGGTGCAGTGTTGAGTCAATGGTGCAGTGTTGAGTCTATGGGCAGTGTTGAGTCTATGGGCAGTGTTGAGTCTATGGTGCAGTGTTGAGTCTATGGTGCAGTGTTGAGTCTATGGTGCAGTGTTGAGTCTATGGTGCAGTGTTGAGTCTATGGTGCAGTGTTGAGTCTATGGTGCAGTGTTGTCTATGGCAGTGTTGAGTCTATGGGCAGTGTTGAGTCTATGGGCAGTGTTGAGTCTATGGTGCAGTGTTGAGTCTATGGTGCAGTGTTGAGTCTATGGGCAGTGTTGAGTCTATGGTGCAGTGTTGAGTCTATGTGCAGTGTTGAGTCTATGGTGCAGTGTTGAGTCTATGGTGCAGTGCTGAGTCTATGGGCAGTGTTGAGTCTATGGGCAGTGTTGAGTCTATGGTGCAGTGTTGAGTCTATGGTGCAGTGTTGAGTCTATGGGCAGTGTTGAGTCTATGGGCAGTGTTGAGTCTATGGGCAGTGTTGAGTCTATGGTGCAGTGTTGAGTCTATGGTGCAGTGTTGAGTCTATGGTGCAGTGTTGAGTCTATGGTGCAGTGTTGAGTCTATGGTGCAGTGTTGAGTCTATGGTGCAGTGTTGAGTCTATGGTGCAGTGTTGAGTCTATGGTGCAGTGTTGAGTCTATGGTGCAGTGTTGAGTCTATGTGCAGTGTTGAGTCTATGGGCAGTGTTGAGTCTATGGTGCAGTGTTGAGTCTATGGTGCAGTGTTGAGTCTATGGTGCAGTGTTGAGTCTATGGTGCAGTGGTTGAGTCTATGGTGCAGTGTTGAGTCTATGGTGCAGTGTTGAGTCTATGGTGCAGTGTTGAGTCTATGGGCAGTGTTGAGTCTATGGTGCAGTGTTGAGTCTATGGTGCAGTGTTGAGTCTATGGTGCAGTGTTGAGTCTATGGTGCAGTGTTGAGTCTATGGTGCAGTGTTGAGTCTATGGTGCAGTGTTGAGTCTATGGTGCAGTGTTGAGTCTATGGTGCAGTGTTGAGTCTATGGTGCAGTGTTGAGTCTATGGTGCAGTGTTGAGTCTATGGGCAGTGTTGAGTCTATGGTGCAGTGTTGAGTCATTGGTGCAGTGTTGATCTGGCAGTGTTGAGTCTATGGTGCAGTGTTGAGTCTATGGTGCAGTGTTGAGTCTATGGTGCAGTGTTGAGTCTATGGTGCAGTGTTGAGTCTATGGTGCAGTGTTGAGTCTATGGTGCAGTGTTGAGTCTATGGGGCAGGGTTGAGTCTATGGGCAGTGTTGAGTCTATGGGGCAGTGTTGGAGTCTATGGGCAGTGTTGAGTCTATGGTGCAGTGTTGAGTCTATGGGCAGTGTTGAGTCTATGGTGCAGTGTTGAGTCCTATGGTGCAGTGTTGAGTCTATGGTGCAGTGTTGAGTCTATGGTGCAGTGTTGAGTCTATGGGGCAGTGTTGAGGTCTATGGGGCAGTGTTGAGTCTATGGTGCAGTGTTGAGTCTATGGTGCAGTGTTTGAGTCTATGGGCAGTGTGGAGTCTATGCAGGTTGAGTCCTATGGTGCAGTGTTGAGTCTATGGGGCAGTGTTGAGTCTATGGTGCAGTGTTGAGTCTATGGTGCAGGTGTTGAGTCTATGGTGCAGTGTTGAGTCTATGGTGGCAGTGTTGAGTCCTATGGGGCAGTGTTGAGTCTATGGTGCAGTGTTGAGTCTATGTGCAGTGTTGAGTCTATGGTGCAGTGTGAGTCTATGGTGCAGTGTTGAGTCTATGGTGCAGTGTTGAGTCTATGGTGCAGTGTTGAGTCTATGGTGCAGTGTTGAGTCTATGGCAGTGTTGAGTCTATGGTGCAGTGTTGAGTCTATGGTGCAGTGTGAGTCTATGGTGCATGTTGAGTCTATGGTGCAGTGTTGAGTCTATGGTGCAGTGTTGAGTCTATGGTGCAGTGTTGAGTCTATGGTGCAGTGTTGAGTCTATGGTGCAGTGTTTGAGTCTATTGGTGCAGTGTTGAGTCTATGGGCAGTGTTGAGTCTATGGTGCAGTGTTTGAGTCTATGGGCAGTGTTGAGTCTATGGTGCAGTGTTGAGTCTATGGTGCAGTGTTGAGTCTATGGGCAGTGTTGAGTCTATGGGCAGTGTTGAGTCTATGGTGCAGTGTTGAGTCTATGGTGCAGTGTTGAGTCTATGGTGCAGTGTTGAGTCTATGGTGCAGTGTTGAGTCTATGGTGCAGTGTTGAGTCTATGGTGCAGTGTTGAGTCTATGGTGCAGTCAGTGTGAGTCTATGGGCAGTGTTGAGTCTATGGTGCAGTGTGAGTCTATGGTGCAGTGTTGAGTCTATGGTGCAGTGTTGAGTCTATGGTGCAGTGTTGAGTCTATGGTGCAGTGTTGAGTCTATGGTGCAGTGTTGAGTCTATGGTGCAGTGTTGAGTCTATGGTGCAGTGTTGAGTCTATGGTGCAGTGTTGAGTCTATGGTGCAGTGAGTCTATGGTGCAGTGTTGAGTCTATGGTGCAGTGTTGAGTCTATGGTGCAGTGTTGAGTCTATGGTGCAGTGTTGAGTCTATGGGCAGTGTTGAGTCTATGGGCAGTGTTGAGTCTATGGTGCAGTGTTGAGTCTATGGTGCAGTGTTGAGTCTATGGGCAGTGTTGAGTCTATGGTGCAGTGTTGAGTCTATGGGCAGTGTTGAGTCTATGGTGCAGTGTTGAGTCTATGGGCAGTGTTGAGTCTATGGGCAGTGTTGAGTCTATGGTGCAGTGTTGAGTCTATGGTGCAGTGTTGAGTCTATGGTGCAGTGTTGAGTCTATGGGCAGTGTTGAGTCTATGGTGCAGTGTTGAGTCTATGGTGCAGTGTTGAGTCTATGGTGCAGGTGAGTCTATGGCAGTGTTGAGTCTATGGTGCAGTGTTGAGTCTATGGTGCGTGTTGAGTCTATGGTGCAGTGTGAGTCTATGGGCAGTGTTGAGTCTATGGTGCAGTGTTGAGTCTATGGGCAGTGTTGAGTCTATGGTGCAGTGTTGAGTCTATGGTGCAGTGTTGAGTCTATGGTGGAGTGTTGAGTCTATGGTGCAGTGCTGAGTCTATGGTGCAGTGCTGAGTCTATGGTGCAGTGTTGAGTCTATGGTGCAGTGTTGAGTCTATGGTGCAGTGTTGAGTCTATGGTGCAGTGTTGAGTCTTATGAAGCAATAATCTTTAAAATCAGAAAGTCCGGGTGGACCATTGCAAAGCGTTCACAACACTCTCCCCTCACAGTTGCGCATTTCTCGCTCAGCGATGTCGCACGCCTCAGACCCTCCCAGGATGTTCCAAATTCTCCGCTACGCGGTGCCGCCGCCTCCGGCTCAGGAGACGCGCCTCGAAGCCTCTGGGCCGCTGCCCGAGACCTCCGCCTGCCCTGTGGTGGCCACCGGCGGTGACGGATACGGTGACAGTGACGGTGACGGCGGCAGCGGTGACGGCCCCGGTAACGTCCCGACGCTTGTACGCAAGGTGAGTGTTTCTCGACTCGTGTTCAACTGGAATATCTTCTTGGTTCTTTCGGTAAAGTCACGTAGAAGGGAAATAATAAAATTAAAATTAAACAATTCTCACGACGTTTCGGCCACAACGCAAGCAGCCGTCCTCAGGTTAAAACCACCTGAGGGCGGCTGCTTGCGTTGTGGCCGAAACGTCGTGAGAATTGTATTTTATAATGTTTTATTTTTATTATTTTATTACTTCCCTTCTACGTGACTTTACCGAAAGAACCAAGAAGATGAATCCCTGCAGTCACGAAAGCTTTAAATCGAAACGTAAAAATGTTTTAGTTGTATTATTTTATTATTTCCCTTCTACGTGACTTTACCGAAAGAACCAAGAAGATGAATCCCTGCTGCAGTCACGAAAGCTTTAAATCAAAATTCAACTGGAATGATTTCTCGTTGCTTACCGTACAAAGGGGCCCGTGCGAGGTGCGACGGACGTAGCCGCGTCTCTTCAGAAGCGACTCTCTTCCCGTCACCGGAGTGGGCTCTCGCCGCCGTGTGGACATTCACGTTGGCCAAGTGACTCTTGTTCAACACGGGTCACCTTCATTTCACATGTGGAGGGATCATCAGGCGGGGCCCGGAGAAAAATCCACACGGCCATCAGGGGAGAGAGAGAATGATGTGCAAAGTTCAAATATAGAGCAGCAGGTGTCAGGGTCTGGATAGAACCCACGACCTCCTGCGTACCAGGCGAGGTAGTTAACATCTCCTAGCCACCGTGATGATGATGAGAGAGAGAGACGCAAACTCCAAATATACAGCAGCAGGCGTCAAGGTCAGGATCAAACCCACGACCTCCTGTATACCAGGCGAGGTAGTTAACATCTCCTAGCCACCGTGATGATGATGATGAGAGAGCGACACGCAAACTCCAAATATACAGCAGCAGCAGGCGTCGTCAGGGTCGGGATCGAACCCACGACCTCCTGTACACCAGGCGAGGTAGTCAACATCTCATAGACACCGTGATGATGATGATGAGAGAGAGACACGCAAACTCCAAATATACAGCAGCAGGTGTCAGGGTCTGGATCGAACCCACGACCTCCTGCGTACCAGGCGAGGTAGTTAACATCTCCTAGCCACCGTGATGATGATGAGAGAGAGACACGCAAACTCCAAATATACAGCAGCAGCAGGCGTCAGGGTCAGGTTAGAACCCACGACCTCCTGCGTACCAGGCGAGGTAGTTAACATCTCCTAGCCACCGTGATGATGATGAGAGAGAGAGAGACACGCAAACTCCAAATATACAGCAGCAGGCGTCAGGGTCAGGTTAGAACCCACGACCTCCTGCGTACCAGGCGAGGTAGTTAACATCTCCTAGCCACCGTGATGATGATGAGAGAGACACGCAAACTCCAAATATACAGCAGGTGTCAGGGTCTGGATCGAACCCACGATCTCCTGCGTACCAGGTGAGGTAGTTAACATCTCCTAGCCACCGT